GGCGGGCTACAGTGCTGCTGCTGTCAGCAACGGCTCGGCCTGCATCAGCGCAAGTGACAGTGGTGCATCCCCTGGGGTGTTTGGGGGGCATCGTCCACAGTTGTGCCATGGTTCCAAGATTGGCCCTTGCGTGTGTGCATGCGTGCACATGTGCGTGTGTTTATGTTTGTATGGGTGTGTGTATGTGTGAATGTGCGCACACACATATGCAAACATACAAACGTGTGTAGACACATGCACACATATGTGCCCAACACTGTTGCTGTCTCGCTGAATCACATGCGCACCTGCACCCACAGGCTATGTGGAAGATGCAGATGGCGGCAAGCGGCTGTGGGTGGCGCGGCGCAGCAGCACCAAGCAGACCTGGCCTGGCAAGCTTGACCACATAGTGGCCGGCGGGCAGGTGAGCTGACGGTGTTTTGGGTGGAGGGTCTGCACCATGGGAGGGGCTGGTTTGAAGGGTGGCAAGGGTGCGACTTGCAAGGCGGGTCAGTGTGCCGCACTCCAGGCACCTGTTTCATGATCAGCACTTGCAGTGCAGAGTAGTTTGCTCGAAAAGGTAGATGGGGAGGGTCGAATGGGGGGGAGGTTGGACATGCAACGGGCAGTGGCATTTGCCTCCTTAAACACATGCACACACACACACACACACACACACACACATGTGCACTCATCTTCTCTTGCCCGCTTGTGCGTGCTCGCGCAGCCGTTTGGCCTGAGCTGTCGGGAAAACGTCGTGAAGGAGTGTGGGGAGGAGGCCAGCATTCCCCAGGAGCTGGCCTCGCAGGCCGTCGCGACGGGTGCGGCCCCTCAGCGCAGCCCCGACCTGCTCCCCTCGCCACAAGGCTAGCGCTTTCCGGCCAGCTGCGCCCGCACTTGTGCCAACCTCGTGCCCACGACCACCACCGTTCCCATCGCCACCATCCCCCAACACCACCGCCACCAGCACCGCTGCCGTCGCGGCTGCAGCCCTCTGCTTTTCCGTGTGCGTTGCTCAGCCGCGGCCCTCGACTGCTCCCCTGTGCCCAACTCACACCGCAGCACGCACTCTGTTCCGACCCATAACTGCAATAAGTAAACCTCGAGCCATATCCTGTGGGCCTGCCTCACGACACCCTTGCCCCCCTGGGCGCCCCTCACAACCACATTCCTGTTGCCCCCCTTCCCCCAGGCTTTGTGAGCTATGTTTCAATACTCCCCGAGGGCCTCAAACCGGACGTGCTTTTCACGTACGACCTGAAGCTGCCGCCCGATTTCGTCCCGAAGCCGCAGGATGGGGAGGTGGGCTTGCGTCCGCTTGCCTCGACCATGTGCATGGTCTGTTGCCGCCGCGTTGAGCGTGGGTTCGGCCGTCGCAGGAGCCAAACACCTGCTAGCAGGAGCCGCTCAGCCTGATTCCCCCTTTGTCAGGGTTTGCAGCTCATTGTTTGAGAAACAGCCCGTTTCACCCCTTTTCAACAATCACATTACTTCATATGACTTATGATGACAGGTCGAGGAGTTCATGCTGTGGGACCTGCCAAAAGTGGCTGACGTCATCGCGCACACGGATGACTACAAGCCCAACTGCGGTGTCGTAGTCATGGACTTCCTGGTGGGCGGGGTGGGCCGTTTCGACCGCACGCTGTAAGTGTTTTCAGTGATACCTGTTGTGGTGGATTTGCTTGATCTTGGCTGGCACGAATGCCACCACGGGTGGGGGCGGCATCGTCTTTCTCTCCCCACTTCCCCAACGAGCGTCCACCCCATCCTGTGCGCGTGCTGTCCCTGCGCCTGCCGCGATGTGTACCCCCAGGTGCGTCACGGCTACATCACTCCAGACCAGCCAGGGTACACGCAGCTCGTGGCCGGCTTCAGGGAGGGAGGGCCCTGCTGACACAGCAGCGTGCGCCGCGAGCGGAGCTGCTGCTGCGCAACATTCAATTATTCAACGGATGCGAGCCTGCTGACCCGAGCCCGATGGCGGCCAAGGGAGCTTCAGTGGGTTGTGAACCATGTATCTCTACCGAAACTTGCTCTAGCTCGCTCATACGCGCCAATGGGCCGAGACACGCGGCCCCGGTCGCACAGTATCGTGACTGCAATCAACAGCGACTGAATGATTGATGTAAAACAGCGACTGAATGGCTTCGCACAAAACAAAAAATTGTATCAATGTTGCAGATCTTGACACCTACACACGTTATTAATTTTATCGGCTCCACAGAGGACTCGCCGCGGATCTGCAGGCAGTCCGTGATTTGCAAATTGATCTGCTGTCGCGAGGAATGCAGGCTATGCGCCCTCAAACGCTTTCCAAAAGCTTTCAGAATTGTATTTATGTGACTCATGTAGCCCCATTGGCCAGCGCGCGCCCCCAGCGC